TAATGATATGCGAAGGCCGCTCAACTGCTCGCTATGACGTGCACAGACCACCAGGGGCAGACAGTCGGCCGGTCGACCAGTCGCTATGACGTGCACAGACCACCAGGGGACAGACAGTCGACCGGCCGACCAGTCGCTATGACGTGCACTGACCACCAGGGGGCAGTCAACCGGCTGACCAGTTACTATGACGTGCACTGACCACCAGGGGGCAGACAGTCAACGGCTGACCAGTTACTATGACGTGCACTGACCCCCAGGGGGACCGAAAGACCGGAATGACCAGTTACTATGACGTGCACTGACCACCAGGGGACAGACGCTCAACGCTGGAGCTGCCCCGTGGTGGTCAGTGTGCTCCCACAAGGGGAGCGCCACTCAGCCAGAAGCTGGGCTCACAGCTGGCGAGTGCAGCAGCGGTGGGAGCTTCTCCCAAGCTTCCAGCTCTGTGGCATCCCTACCAAGCTGCGTTGGCAGGTGCAGTGGGCCAGGGCTCCACCCTGGCTGCCTGCCATTTGGTGTACTGCTATATTCCCCCAAGGGGTCCTGGATTGCAAGAGGGTGCAGACCAGGCTGAGGGCCCCCGCTCCCCACCCCCACCCCCACACACACACCCAGGCCTCTAGTATAATAATAAAAATTAAGCTGCCTTCCTTTTAAATAAGCAGTTAAATATCTTTTTATTTTATCACTTACCTTTATCAGTTGTAACTAACTCATTTTGATGGTCTCTTGGAAATGTCAAGGACTTTTTCTTAGAGATTCTAAATTCCTTCTGAAGATAGATATTCTTTACTTCACACATAGTTTCAATGTGAATCTTATGAGAAAACTAAAAGAGAAATATTTTATTTAGAATCCATCTATTAACCTTTAAAATATTGAAATGCATCTGAAATAACTTTTGAGAAAACATTAATTTAAAATAGGACAGGTGCTTTCACTGTGGTCTGTGTATGGCAATTTCCACTTCTGGGGAGTTAGAAAGAAGGCAGAGTGAGTGTTAAATTCTAATATTCACCTACCTTTCGTGGGCATGTAGGCCAACTTCTTTCTTAGCACTATGGATTTTAAGTAAAGGAACCTAGCAATTCTTTGATTACATATTTGTAACCAGTCTTCAAAAAAAAGGGTTTAAGAATTTAAAACTGCATTTAGACATGTTTAATTAGTATATGAAAACATACCTCTCTTGTTCCTTTAAGATTTAAGCCTTCATGCCAATCAGGTCCCAAGGCACTGCCTACATTACCAGCATTAATGTTGGTTCCTGCTTCCTTTTTCTTTCCTGAAGAGATAAACTCAATTCAAAATTCAAATGATATAAAAATAAATATCTGCCAGGCAGATAAATACGCTTCTTCTGCAGCTTTTAGGCAATATAATGATTCTCATGCATAAGTACATACCAAATGATGAAACAAAGTCACCTGTAATAATAATTTTATTTATTTTAATATTTTGTGATGTAGAGATATAAAATGGACAATCTTTCAATTGAGTATTGAGTATAAACATAGTGTTTTGGGGATGTTATATTCACTGGTTAATATGAAGGGTAAGAATGTTAGCCAACAGATTTTGAAAATGTTGTCAGTTGTTGGGATGCCCTAAACTTGTAAAATTCTTGAATTTTACAAACCATTATGTGTTTGTTTTTTTAAACCTCTGTAAACTAAAAAATCATGAAGCTTGTATTTGCTTTCAAACTCACTGCATTTTTATAAAATTACCTTAGGTCTTGTCTAGTTGTAGCATCTGTTTACAAAGATGCAGATAGACTGGTTTGTTTAATTCACTTTAAATTTCGTTTTAATTATACATATTTTTCATAAAGTATATAAATTCTAGAAAATCTAAAAAGTCATATAAAGATACTATATTCTTAGCACCCAAATATATTTTGCTAAATTTTCTTAGTCTTTTTCTATATGGTTAAAAAAATAGAAATTTCTCTGTGAATTAATGAGTCAGATTCTATATTTACCTTTAGTTGTATATCTGGTTCTTTTATGTGCAATTTTAGCCTCTGGTTTTTCAGCAATGAGCTTTGAGGTCAAGAATTCAGCTGCTCCTGCATCGAAGAAAGTATTCCCAATAGCCTTATCTTTAATGGCCCAAATTACTTCACAACCTTCGACTTCATACCTAAAAGGAATATTAAAGTTACTTAGAGCAATTTCAAAAGTATGAGTAGAAATCTTTGTACTTGCAAATAATAATTCTCTCCTAAGGCACAAGTAAAGAAAATATTTTGAGGCAAACTCAGAAAAAATGATTAAAAGGAGGAATGTAACACTC